AAATTAGTCGTTGGTGGCCGATGCACTGTTGTTGCTCGAAATTATCGCATTCGTCTTCGGAAAAGTCATAGTACCTCTTCATGGTAACTCGCACTTGTATGAAAGTTCGCTCACAGCCTAAAATTAAGTAGGCCTGATTAACTAATCTCCTCTTTATTTATGAAACCAGTTCTGCCAGCACGGACCAGGGCGGAATACGGGGGATTCCGGGGAAATGTGGGGGAATCCGCAAATGAAGAATTTTGAATGACGAACTATATTTACAGTATTAATTTTTCGAAATCTGGTTTTTTTATCAATAAATTATTGATAAAATTATCCTCTAACGTAACAATCAATTTGAAGGCTTAATAATAAGGAAAACGTGAGCGCAGAAGGAAGCCGTTTTTCTCACTCTTAAGCCTCCACATTGATTGTTATGATAAAGGATACGGTTATTAATAATTTATTGTTAAAAAACAGATTTCGAAAAATGTACACTGTAAATATATTTGGTCAATCAAAATTCTTCATTCGCGGATTTCCCCGCATTTCCCGGAATCCCCCGCGGCCTGTGCTGGCAGGGATCGTTGGATGTTTCAGTGACCGTTAATTCCAAGGAACAATTGTAAGTTAACTTTAGCGAGTATATATTAAAAACTATATTGCATCTGCGTTGCAGCTGCCATGACAAACTTACCTCTATCACACCGTTACTCGCAAAAACAACTTTGTTTTGTAGAACTTTAATTTGGTGTCCTTTTACATACAAATTATATCAGAAACAATGCGTAACTGTATACAAATCCAGCTGACCGATGAAGTATAAACCATCAATTGGCAGCGTGTTATCCCTGCCTTTGCTGACAAAACTTTTAAATACTATGCAGGCCTTTTAGGGGTGAGCTGGTTTGAATAAACAGTATTTTTTTAAGAGTTTATCAAAATTGAGACGCCGAAGGTTAACGGAGGTTTCTCTATTACGTTAAGTACTTCGGCCAAATAAACTGCTATGAGTTACAGCTCAACGTACTTTAAGTGTTTCTAACGAGAGATATTGACCGAATTCCAAAGTCGGCACAAGAATTGATTATTTTTAAGGCATTTATGACAGGAATGTAACGTATACTAAGATATAACAGAGTAAAGTGTGAATATAGTAAAACCGAACAAATGACGCGTTTTATCTCCTCACATCTTCAGATTTTGGCTTTCACTTCACGTAATTGCCATCATAAAATGCATCACATTTTACAATATCCAGCTCTGTTTAAGATATATTTTCTGCAGTATCCAAATTATTTCATGCAGTCTCAGTATCAGATTCACTCAGATTTCCATTCTAACTGATTGAAAGGAGAACTTGGACCCCGTTCACACTCTAAACAGCTTACGACTTCTCATCACTACGGCAATGTCCTTCAGAGAATATGTTAAAATATTTAGTTTAGATATACCTTAGTTAGGGTGATACAGTTGATACATCAAGTGATATATCAATTGTATCTCAGAAGATGCTACAAGATGTAAAAATTCAAGAGGTTAGGATAGCTTCATGATTCTTTATAAAGCTAGAATTTTAATTAGACAACGAAGGCTAAAATTAAACACAAAAACATCCTAAAATCTCATTAAAAATCTTTGAACTGTTCATTCTCTGAAGATGTAGCCTGCTGCAGAACGAATGGATTATGCAAGACGATTCAAGTGGGGTATGGAGGATCAAACTGACTAAATTTTTAATGTAAGGATGTAAATCTCTTAAGATTTCTCAGAATTTATGACGTTGGGTAGGTTACTTAAAGGTCTACAAACGCAGATCGAAATTTTATATGAATATTTAAACATACGCCAGTTTGGTCCTATTACCTATAACATGACAAGCATGCATGCTTGTCATGCTTGTCATATAATTTGGAACATCTTATACGACATGCCTTATAAGATGTTCCAAATTATATGACACAGCTTACTCATTTTGCAAAAGTATAAAACACTTCGTCGGAAGAGGTCTATTTTAACTCTGATATTATGAGTAGTAAAACAGATAGCACAAATCATTACCCGAAGCGTGAGGCCAAATATAATCCTTTTACATGCTGCTCGGGAATCACATTTTCGTTATTTGTTTGTTGTAATATTCTGTCAACAGAACGTCCCATAAGACCAAATTCGGAGTCCAGCTAAACGAATTTATTTGAAGTTCTCCACAAGTTGGACCACACCAGTACAAAAGATTAGGTCAGTAGAACTTAATCTTTCTGCAGCTTCTATATATCTCATCACGGGAGAGAGTTTTTACAGTCTCATATGGAGATGTGCACCCGATAAGCTATATTTCTGCAGTTTCAGTACACCGCAATGACGCCTACCTGTAAACGTGGGGGAGAATTTCTCTGGTTGACTCCTAATTAATTTCAGCATTACTTATATTAAGGTCATATCCGTATGACAATGTAAATTTACGGACAACATTTACCTGATTATTCGCATTTACTTCCCTCTCCCAAGAGTCCCTCAATTGTTCTTCCCCAGATTTTTGTGTTATACCTCCTAACCGCGGATCTTGCTCGGCAAATTGCTGCTGATCCATGTAAGTAGCACGCTTTGAAAAATAGGTTACTGTTTTTCTTGTTCAAACCTCGGACCTTTCCGCCTCACGTTCACCTGCGAGTCGATAGTATTCCTGTTTCATATTCTCCGTGGCTACATCAGATTCTTCAGGATAACCATTAAGGATACGCTTTAAAGAATAAATTTCGCAAAGCATTACGTCAAAAGCATTGTTTTCTTCACGCAGTAGAGTTCTTAGTTTATTTCGTCGACTTTCCAAACGTTCCAGAATATCTTCTTTCTTAGGCTGCAGGTATGCAAGAATACTAATTCGGGAAAGATATTATACTATAAAAATACTTACCTATGCTTGAAAGAAGTATCGGATGTCCAGTATTTCTCTTTGTTAGCTCGGATTTCGGCCGCTTTATAATATTTCTGAGTAATCTTTTCCTGTGCTTGTCTATTTTCTTCTGCTGCTCTTTTCTTGAGCATTATGGCCTCATATATATTTTTCGTTTTCACAGTTGGCCACATTTAAATCCAACAATAAATTATTTTAAAAAGACCGTAAATAGCAAAGATACTTTTCTACTGGGCGCGCCGTCAACACGTTGGGTTGCCATGACAGGAGACAGACAGCTGGAGGTAAAGCATAAGATTCGTTTAAAGATCGGAACCTCTTGAATATACCAATGCCTTTATCAATTACTATGCAATACGCACAATCAAAACTTGGAACCAAACTGTTCTGCGGATGTCTTGGAGGTCTGTTGAGAGAAAACTCCAATCGTGGATTGGGCAACTTTGGACTTCATGTACTAACCCCTTCGATGCTTAGTAGGAATATTTATCAACCGAAAGGCGAAGTAAAACGAAATAAATGTATAATGCTCGAAGTATGGCAGAAGATTTAAGGTAAACTAGAAGAAAAGCTTGTGAAAAGTAGGGAAGCCATTTGAACCAACGTATAAGCGTAGGTGTGGGTTTGGTTTCCGGACGTACAGACAATATATCTATAGATATTGTCTGTACCATATATGGGTTCTATGTCTACTTATCTCAAATTTGAGGAGTATGTTCCCCGTGGTGTGCCCTGTTTGCGACTTCCGTGACTGCCTGCTGTTCTTTGGTCTACGACCACTTCACACTCGGGACAATGGTGCCCCAATTCTATTTTCGATATCTCTGGCATAGGTGCGCTGGACAGGGCGTCAAACTGGTAACGGTGAGTTCTTTAACACTTCAGTCTATTCCT